GAGAGAGAGAGAGAGAGAGAGAGAGAGAGAGAGAGAGAGAGAGAGAGAGAGAGAGAGAGAGAGAGAGAGAGAGAGAGAGAGAGAGAGAGACTACCCTGTCATACTGTGACAGTTTTCGAGTCTTGGTAACGAGCAAGTTAGCAAACTGTGTCACCACAATCGCTCCAAAGTATGCTGTCTGTGCGTGAAACAGCACACTTTTCTGATAAGCCACGTTGGGCATGGTCATCTGCCGCCCTCCCCACCAGTAGAAAGCACCTACAGGAGCATCAAGTTTGCCTGCGCGTTTTCGTCCGGGAAATCCTGACTAATACACCAGCACACACAATAAACAGCTACAGTGAGACCAGGAAGACCTCCAGCTTTTTAAACCTTTTTTTTTTTGTGTGTGTGTATTTTTAATTTCCTCACAATACTCAAAACTCTTGTTGTGCTGCAGTTATGAAAAGGGGCAGACTGACCAAAATGGAAGGGTAATCTCGCTCAGTTGGTATGCCCACAAACTGTTGAAAAACACACCCAAGTTCGAATCCAGATACAAACAGATGACAAGAGTAAAATCACAATTCTGAATTACCTGTAGCCGGTCGGTTCAATGATGATATCTCAAGCCGTCGCCCTTCCAACGAAACAGGAAGGATAATCTCGAGCAGAAGCAAAGACGAAAACTGGCCAATGGTGTTAGACTCTCTCGGAATTAGGGGCGAGCAGAGCTAAATCCTCCCTTCTAAGCCCACGTTGTTGTAAAGGCCAGGGTCCAAGCTGATTTAAGGCGTCTCTTGTTCAGATTTATGACCAATCAATAACACCATGCACACCAATGAGGAAGAAAACTGCAGTGTCGGACTCTCCTTCCTTACACGCCAACACCAGGAAAAGAGTGATATTCAGATATTGGCCTTTTTTTTCAATCTTCAAAAAAAAAAAAAAAAAAAAAAAGAGTGATACTCGGACACTGGCCTTTCTGGACGGTTCAGACTCTTCAGAGTCTTCAGACTGAATATCTGGCCCTTTTTTTTTTGTTTTTTTTTTAAATATCTGGACCTCTTTGGAGTCTGGACCCTTGTGTAAAAAAAAAGGTGAGGCTCACCAAAGCTGGCCCGGTCTTTTTTTTTTTTTTTTTTCTGTTCCTGTTTTTAAAGTTTTTAACTCCAAAGCTGGCCCCGTCTAGACGGACACGAGGTGAGTTTGCACATTTACTGAGTGGTGCAGTGAGGGGCAGTTTTTTTTTTGGTGAGGTTTTGGGGCCTTTTTCTGGAGGTCAGACCTCACCACAGAATTTCAGTTTAGGGGAGGTGGTGCGGCAAGGACCTAACAAGCAAGCCCCAATGTAGTGCCAAACATATTTGGGATAAACTGCCGTAGAGCCCATGGAGGTTGTCCGATATCATACTTCCATCCAGTTGCGACTCAGCTGGGTCTCTTCGAGTGTCTCCGACCACTCTGGCCAGCCCGATCTCCCAAATCAAATGCGAGTCATAGCTCGAAGCGTTGCATGCCTAGCACGGGTTCAGGC